GCACTTCAGAGGACCTGCCAAAGTTAGCAGTTCTTTTTTTCTTGGAGTTTGAACTTAGGACTTTGTGCTTGCAAGGCAAGCACTCTGCCACTTGAGCCCCACCCCCCACTCCATTTTGTTTTAGTGTCTTTTATTCAGGATCTTGTATTTTTGCCAGGTGTTGACCTCAGACAGTGATCCTTCAGCCTAAGGCCTTCCAGGTAGCTGGGATTACAGGCAGTTACCACCATGCCTGGTTAGGACCAGTTCTTAGGTCATTTTGGCATGGGGTTTCTTGACTTAGTGTTTGGTGTTAAATTTCCAAAACTTTTTCCTCTTTTATTATTGGCAGGGCACATACTTGTTTTTTTGCATGTTTTTTCCCTAATGGTGATACCTCTTGAAACTTGGCTTTGTATGTATGGGTGATGGGTCATTGCCACAGTTCTAATTCCTTCCTTGTTTCAGTCTACATTTTTATTTTCTAGTACTGCCACTTATTTTTAGGCTCAACATGGCATTATGAATGTGGATACTCTGCAGATAACAATGTACACTAGCCTTCTCCTTTTCATCAGTTGTTAGCACTACCTTGTCTTTAACAAGTAAGTGAAAATATTACCAAATGAGGCCTGTTTTGCCTGCTTTGCAAATGGTTTTACAGAGGAGAAAGATTTTATTCAGGAGGCTGTCAGCATGATGACCTGGTAGTTCTAAGTGGCAACTCTGACTTCCTAAGTATAGGGTTTTGTGGCATTTCTTAATGAAAGGGTGTTCTGAGGTGTGGTGAAAGGTGATTTTTTTTTCTTTTTTAAAATTTTATTTATTTACTTTTGCAGTAGTGTGATTTGAACTCAGGCCCTTACACTTGCCAGGCAGGTGCTCTGCCACTTGAGCCACACCCCTCAACTGGGAAAGGTGATTGGTTGGGGTCAGAGAGTAATGAAATGATTGGCAGTCTGCACGTGCATAGTCAGACTTCATGGCTGTTCATAGGATGTGTGTGCAGAAAGTGGGAGTGTTTCCTGCCCTTTGATGTCAAAGGTTTCAACCCAAAAAAGTTCCTGAGAAACAACTTAGGCAAATTTTATCTAGCATACTTAGCATTGAGGCCCATATTATCAGGAAAGCTTATGGAATTATATCACTCAGCTAGGTAACCTCAAAAATTGGTGGTCAAAGCAAGTAACTGAAACCAAGAACCTAGAGGGTTTATTTGGGATTTCCCTCTGGTTCAAAGGCATTAAGAAATGAGGACAACATGGCATAAATTTAAAGAACTTTATTGTAGATTTATCTTCTTCCTTTTTCTTGGTTGTACTAGGGTTTGAACTTGGTCTCATACCTACCAGGCAGCTGCTCTGCCACTTGAGCCAAGTCCCCAGCCCTAGGTTGTTTTTTTTTTTTTGGTGGTGCTGGAGTTTGAACTCAGGTCTTCATGCTTGCTAGGCAGGTGATCTACCACTTGAGCCATTCTGCCAGTCCCCCAGACCTAGATTTAGCTTTTCTGTTTCATTCAGTTCAGAAGGATTCTATTTAGACTATGGATAGAGTTGACTACTTACATACAACCAAAATAGTATTAAACTTCCAATTTAGCTAGACAATGATAGACCAGCTTATTAAAAGTAATGAGGCTGTGCAGCCGTTAGAGATGTGCCAGAGACGCTTAATTGAGAAGTGCAACTGCTAAGATACTTCGGCAAGGCAGCACCTTTCTGGCTCTGTACTGCTTAAGAATTGCTACTCTATTGCCTTTTTCTTTTGGCGGTACCAGAATTTGAACTCAGGGTCTCATACTTGCCAGGCAGATGCTCTATCACTTGAGCTATTCCACCAGCCCCCTGTTGCCCTTTCATTCTTCATGTTTTCCAGTAGAAATCATGAAAACTTTAGTGTAACATTCCATGCTTTTCTTTTTAGGGAATACTTAAGAACATGAGCTCTTTGTCATGTTAGCCTCCTCCAGTGTGAATGAGGGCAAGGCCTCTTCTTCTTGGGAGTGGATGGGATGGGGTACAGGCCCAGTGGGAGTCTCTGAAAAGTCTCTTGTCTCTGTCTCTAGCTTTGCATTCTCTGACTCTGGTTGACCACTTTGTATGTGGCTGATTCTGATATTGAGCTTGCTATGGGGACCTAATCCCAAATTTATTAGTATATACTAATTATACAGTACACTGTTTCATTGTCATATTTCTATACTTGCAGGGCTCGTGGAGTGGCTCAAGCAGTAAAGCATCTGCATAGCAAGTGTGAGGCCCTCAGTTCAAACCCTGGTATCACCCCCCCCCCAAAAAAAAAGTAAAAGAAGAAAGTTTTAAAAGAGCTGGAGGTATGGCTAAAGTGGTAGAGTGCCTGCCTAGCAAGCATAAGTCCATGAGTTCAAACCCCCAGTACCGCCAAAAAGAAAAAAAAAGATGCAGAATCCATACTTGCTTATAGTAATTTAATCGTATTAATTCCCCCTTTTTCTTTTAAAATTATTCCTCTTCTATTTTTGTGTGCTTTGTGTTATTTGTGGTGGTTTCTGTTGTTGTTTGTTTGTTTTGGTAGGACTGGAGTTTGAACTCAGGGCGAGCACTCTTCTGCTTGAACTGTACCTCCAGTCCATTTTCTTCTGGTTATCTTGGAGATGGGGACTCTTGAACTATTTGCCTGGGCTGGCCTTGAACTCTGTGATCCTCCCAATCTCAGCCTGCCAAGTAGCTTGGATTACAGTTGTGAGCCACTGTCACCAGGCTATATTGTCTGGTTTTTGAGGTGGGATGTCCTTAAGTTGCCTAGGCTGGTCTCCAGGGCTCAAGCCTTCTTTCCACCTCATCCTCTTGAGCGACTGGGTTGGAATATAGATGCTTGTTACCACACTTCAGTTGCTCTCTTCTCTCCCCCTGACCTTTTTTTCTGTTGTGGTGCTGGGGTTTGAACTCAGTGCTTGCTAGGCCGGTGCTCTTAACAGTTGAGCTTCATCTCTAATTCTTCTTCTTGAGATCTCTCTTGTTTGCACAGGTCCTACCTTGGACAGTGATCCTCTTACCTATGTTTCCTGATTAGTTGGGATTATAGGTGTGACCACCATACCTGGTTATTGATAGAGATGGCATCTTGAGAACTTTTTGCCTGGACTGGCCTCAAGCTGCAGTCCTCCTGGTCTCTACCTCCCACATAGTTGTGGTTGCAGATGGAAGCCACTATTCCTGGCTTTATTTATTTATTTTTTGGGCGCAGTACTAGGGTTTGAAGTCAGGGCCTCACATAGGCACTCTAGCTCTTGAGCCGCTCTACCAGCCCTCACACACCTCCCCCCCCTTTTTTCTTTTGAAACAATGTCTCATTGTATAGCCCAGGGTGGCCTCAAACTTGCTGTCCTCCTTCTGCCTCCCTTGTGCTGGAATGAGAGCATGTGCCATTATGCCCAGCAGAAGAGTTCATTTTAGTGACCTTGCATGATTGTATTCTTTAACATTTCCTTTATTTTTCCAGTGGAATAGCACTTCCCTAACATGTGCAAGGCCCTGGGCTCATTGCACAGTACTGTAAAAGAAGCAAAACCTGCCATTTCCATTGTGGGGAAAATGTACTCCATATTTCTCCCACAGTACAGTTCATAGGCATGGAGCACACTCATATTGTTGTGCACCTGTCATCACCATCCATCTCTAAAACCTTTTCATTTCTCCAAACTGAAACTCGGTATATTAAGTCCCATTCTTCCCCTCCCTCATGTCCATGACAGCTATCATTTTGCTTTTCGGCTCTTTTCTTTGTTTTTTTGTTTTGTTTTGTTTTGTTTGTGGTATTACTGGGGTTTGAACTCAGGGCCTTGTGCTTACTAGGCATGTGCTCTGCCACTTGTCGCTCTTCTTAAATGTTCGCTATTGTGTGGTGTATTATTCTGTGATAGCTTTCTAAGAAAAGCATGCATGATGTATTTCTAATAACATGACTTCATAGCATTTATTGTTTATTTATTTGTGGGAGGAACATACTGGTGTTTTGAATTCTGGACCTTGCACTTGCTAGGCAGGCACTGTTAACATTTGAGCCATTCCTCCAGCTCTTTTTTGCTTTAGTTATTTTTCTGGTAAAGTGTTGGATTTTTGACCATGGCTGACCTTGGACTGCAATCATCTTACTTAATGCCTGTATTGTTTGGATTACAGATGGGTACTACCATACTCAGCTTATTTGTTGAGATGGGGTCTTACTGACTTTATGGCCTATTGACTGTGAGCTGCTACAGCTGACCTTATTTAACTCTTTTTTTTTCTTTTTTTTTTTTTTTTGCGGTACTGGTGTTTGAACTCAGGGCCTACACTTTGAACTACTCCACCAGCTGTTTTTTTGCGAATTGCAGTCCTCCTGATCTCTGCCTCTTTGGTCGCTAGGATTTTTTTTTTAAGTCTTTGTTTTTCTTTTTTCTTTATTTTCTTGGTGGCACTGGGGCTTGAACTCAGGTCCTCATGCTTGTTAGGCAGGCACTCTTAATGCTTTAGCCACTCTGCCAGTCTAGATTTTGGTTTTAGTACAGTTTAATATAGTTATGCCTGTGTATCTTAGTGATCATTAAAATATCCTAATAATACCATTTGGTTATAATTTTTCTAAAATTTAGAGTTAAGAACTCATATAAGAAAAGCTTGGTAAACTAACATTTCTTATTCTATAGCAAAACAATTGTTGGAAACTGTGTGTAACTGGAATTTTGTAAGTTTTAACCAGTCAAATTTACCTTGGAATTTTTTATAAATCACTATATTTTTTCTATTAGTGTTTCCTTTGAAACACTTTGATATATCATGTTGCATACTGTTTATTTGAAGAGTATTCTGTTAATGGAGTTTAAAGGCATGTTTTTAATCCATTTTTAGAAAAATTTCTTTCTACTTGTTTAAGAAAGTCCTTGAACTTTTAAAATTAGCAGTCATTTAAATCTTTACATTTATAAAACTTAAAATTCATACATGAATAATTTTTATAAGAACCTTTATTTTTTCTCAATGTGTACTTTGAATTATTTTTAGGCAAAATGTTTCATGGATTTCAAAGCTGGAGGCACCTTGTGTCACATTCTTGGGGCGGCTTATAAGTACAAAAATGAACAAGGGTGGTAAGTTTTTATATTTATTTCTATGTTTTGACATGGCATGTAAGTTACTTAATAATACTCCTTTGTGTAGTATTAGAATTCTGTTAACATATTATGATTAAGTGTAAGGTAAGTTGTGTTTTATCAAGAGTCCTAGTTTACTTTATTCCTGTATTCAAGAAAAATGTCAAGCTGCCAGAGTGGCTCAAGTGGTAGAATGCCTGCCTAGCAAACATGAGGCCCTGAGTCAAACTCCAGTACCATCACCACCAAAAGAAAAACATCAAACACCTATTGTATTTATTAGGTAAATTATTAATCTTTTGTCTAGCCTCAGGCAAGTCCTGTATATGATTGTATTTATATAACACACAGGTATCCATTATTAGCAAATGAGATGGTAGATTCACCATGAATCTTGTGAGGTACATTATATATGAAGTTGATAGATAGTAGTTAAAGAGTTCCAGTGAGATGGGTCTCAAAAGACCCATATACACTTGCCATCCTCACAATGTAGATAAACGGAATCTGGCTCAGAGAAGTACCTGTGTCTAGCTTGTGAGACTGAAGATAGGCTGAGAATCCTCAGGCTTTTACTGTTTGGCTCCCTTCACTCTTCCTTTTCCCTTTTCTAGCCCTGTCTTTCTTGGTGCTATTTCTTCTTTTACTTTCTTGAATTTGGGACTTCCATCCTAATATGGAAAGTTAATGTTTAATGATTATGGTTCTGAGTCCCAGGTTGGTAAGGGTGCACCTTCACAGAACAGTAGGGTAGAGGGGACTGGAGTTTGTTGGCTTAAAGGTTTTATTATTATTATTACTGCCATCAGAACCCTTAACATGCTATTATTATCATACCCTAGAGAACATCAGCTTTTTAATTCAAATCATCTAACTTGAAGTTTTTTTTTTTAAATCACTTTAGTTGTGTTGTCTCTGTGCAGTTTATAATCTTAGCATCTTTCCAGGGGAACATACATGATGTAATTTGTGTATTTTAGTTTACTTTTACCTTAAAAAGGTTTTCTTTTCTTTTCTTTTTCTCCTGTTACTCTTTTTACAGTGCTTATCTAACCTGGGGTCTTGCATATGCTAGGCAAGTGCTCTATCTTTGAGCTACAGTCCAGGCCCTGTGTATTTTAGTTCATAAAACTAAAACTAACCAACCCAGTACTTTATGGCTAGGAAATGCAGATACATGTTCAGATCAGCTCTCAGACAAGTTTATAACTGATTTTTTTATAGCAAGCAAAGTGATGTAGGCACATTTGTGTTTGCTAGAACTTTTATTTTTAATAAGGGTAGTGTTTAATGGGTATTGGTTGACAAATGGTAAGCATGAGAGTTTGTTGTTATTTGAGATACCTTTGTGTTTTCCACCTCCATGTTTAGCTCTGGTGTTGTACCTCTCACCAAAGTGTTCCCTGATCAAGCTCCTTAGCATGTGTGAGTACTGCCAGATGTGGTCTGTACCCTATCATTAGCTCCAGATTCCCAGGTGGACTCTTCTTTGCTTGTTTTCTTTTCTTTTGGTGGTACTAGGGTTTGATCTCAGGGTCTCACACTTGCTAAAACAAGCGCTCTGCCACTTGAACCACCCACCAGCCCTATTTTTGTATTGCGTATTTTTGAGATAGGGTCTCACGAACTACTTGCCTGGGCTAACCTTGAACCACGATCCTCCTAATCTCTGCCTCCTGAGTAGCTAGGATTACAAGCGTGAGCCATTGGAGCCTGCTGTATTCTTTTTTTGAAGTACTGGAGTTTGAACTCAGGGTCTTCATCTTGAAGCCACTCCACCATCCCTATTTTTATGATGGGGTCTTTTGAGATATGGTCTCGCGAACTGTCCAGGCTGACTTCTAACCTAGATCCTCCTAATCTCTGCCTCCTGAGTAACTAGGATTACAGGCGTGAGCCACTGGCACCCAGCTGTATTCTCATTTTTTTAAGGCTTACTCTTGCAACATCTGGGCAGCAGAAAAGGTTATCTCCTTTTCTCCTTGCTGATTCAAAAAGTGAACTGAACAGCATGGTTATATAGCCAGGAAAGAAGTGTGACATACAAATTTGGCATTGTAATTATCACAGATCACAGCATAGCTTCCAGTTTTACCAGTCTCAGGCTGTCTATAAGAACTAATCACAAACTTTCTGCTGAGTTGTGGTGGGGAGTTCCTGTGGTCCTCCTGCCACAGCTGCAGGATGAACAGCTGAAGTTTGTCCTGGAGTGATAACTTTCCAAGGCTGGTTGTGGTGTGGTCTTTTTTTTTTTCTTTTAATTTTTATTTTGTTCATATGTGCATAAAATATTTGGGTCATTTCTCCCCTCTTCCCCCCGCCCCTCCCTTATACCCCCCTGTGGTGTGGTCTTGACTGAAGGAAGGCCTTCTGGTTTTGGTTGTAGTTATTTATCCTTGTAGGTGGTGTGTTGCTTCTTCATGATGTCCCAGAAGTGGAGCTGGAAGAGTGGTTCAAGTGCATGCCTAACAAGTGCAAGGCCATGAGTTCTAACCCCAATACCACCAAAAAAAAAAAAAAAAAAGTCCCAGAAATGTTCAAAGCCAAGCAGACCCATTACCTAAAGCGGGGCTGCATGGTTTAAAGCTCCCTACTCAAATCACTTGTGTACAAGGGAAGTATCTGACAGCTGTCAATTAAAAGGTGAAATTGGCCTGACACTTCAACAGCTTAGCTTATTTGAAGGAAAAGTATACATTAAGGGGTGCTTACAATAAAGATCTGTCATTAACATTAACATTCTTACGATTGATTAACAGTGCTCAACTTCTAGCAAGTGGCCCTAGAAGTTGGGTCCCTCTAACTGTCTTTTTGCATTTATTAATTCTACAAAGGGGTTTCATTGTGATGTTTCGGTACCCTCTAATCTAGCTTAAAAATTCTGTGTAAAAGTTTAAGTGAAGATAAGATTACCATGGACAGAGGGCCTAAATCCCATTTTTAAAGCTGTAACAACTCTTCTAAATTACCTATTTTTGTGGGGGTTTTTTTTTGACCCTTTGCTTTATTTTTTGATTGCAATTTAGGAAATACTTCAATCTTGTCTTAGGACAGTAATAAAAATGTCATAACGTATATTAGTCCTTAGTGATAATAAGTATTTATTTAGTAGTTTTCTTATAAAGCCACATATTCTGCTAGCAAGTAGAGCTACATCGGAAAAAATTTTAAAGACTGGTGCTTTTCCCCTAGGCATCCAATGAATTGTCCCACTAACAAGATAGTTTTGTAATGAGGCTTTAACAGCGGTATGCACAGAACATATTAATAACACAAAAGAAGATAAGAATAGCTTCCCTAAGGAAGTAACTTGTAGGCTAAATGTGAATGAATGAGTGGTGACATCCTAGAAAAGCTACAAAATTTAGAAAGAAATCATTAGAGGTTTGGGAACCATTTCCAGAATAAAAAAGATAGAACGTATGTTAAGAGCATGAGTCCTGCTGGGCGCCAGTGACTCACACCTGTAATCCTAGCTACCCAGAAGGTAGAGATGAGGAGGATCTTGGTTCAAAGCCAGCCTGGGCAAATATTTCACAGTACCCTATCCGAAAAAAGAAAAACCCATCACAAGAAAGGGCTGGTGGAGTGGCTCAAGATATAGGTCCCGAGTTCAAGCCCCAGTATCGGAAAAAAAAAAAAAGAGTCCTGGACTGATACTAGCTAGTACATGGTAGTAATAACTGAAGAAATCATAACTAGGGGCTGGGGTTATAGCTCATTGGTGGTGTGCTTGCCTAGCATAAGTGAGGCCTTGGATACGGTCCCCAGCACCTCCAACCAAAAGCAAAATCAAACTGTACTTGATATTTATTGACCATAAATACTATGGTAAGCTCTTAACTTATATACCTGATTTAATTAAAATTGCAGTAGGTACTATACTGAAGAAATTGATCCTTGATTAGTTAGACTATGTAATGAACTTGATGTTAGAATTAGTACCCAGCCTACCTTGAGTCTGTAGCTCCATCACATCACTAAATTCTGCTCTCCTTGGATGTTTGTACTCAGTAATTAAAATGGAGCAAACCATAGTTGGTGTTGAGTGAAAAATGGGGCAAAAGAAGTATTTGACTTTGTAAAGATGTAACCATCAGAAATGCTCAGGAATAGGTCAAGACAACACCAGAATGCTATGCTTCATTAGTTACATAAAGAAATATGGGGAAAGATATCAAGTAAGGATAATTGGTAAATTTTTAGCACGTTTAGAAAAACATTAAGATCAATGATCAGTTTCTCCCAGAACATGGACATTACACTGTAACATTAACTCCTAAGAGAAAGGGGGAATCTTGAGATGAGATAGAAGAGGAATAATAAAATGACAAAAGTAACGTAAAGGGATTAAGGTGGTGTTGATGGAACCCTTGCAAGAACATGGTGAGTACTGTTTTTCTTCCTTTCCTTCCCTTCCCTTTTCCTTTTCCTTTCCCTTTCTCTTTTCCTTCCCCCTTCCCTTTCCCCTTCCTTCTTCTCTCTTCCTCCTCTCTCTCTTCCCCTGTGTCTTTTCCCTTCATTTTTTCTTTTTTCTTATTACTAGAATGCTCCACCACTCCTGGCTTGTTGGTTGAGATGGGGGGTCTTTATACAGGTTTTTGCTCAGGCTAGCCTTAAACTGCAGTTCTGTGGATCTCTTCCTTTTGAGTAGCCTGGCCTTTTTTCTTTTTTTATAATTTTGAGATAAAATCTCACTCTGTGGCCCAGGCTGACCTCGAACTTGCAATCCTCCTGTCTCAGCCTCCCAAGTGCTGGTATTATATGCTCCCACCTTACAACTGTTTTTCAAGGGGAGGTACCCAGGGCCTAGGGCATGCTAGGCAAGCACTCTAGTGAACTACACTCACAGCCCAGACAGAATATTTATTTCTACTTTTTCTGTTACTTTAGGGTTGAAAATGTCAGACATGCAGTATTTGTTAGTTGTGGGCAGGTATGTGGATAAAATAGAGAAGTGAATAGCAGGAGGTCATTTGTAGTGGTGAGGAGCAATCATCCTTTGGAAATTCTTTCATTATGGCTCAGGTACTTCTCTTTTCTTCTAGGCGGAGATTTGATCTACAGAATCCATCCCGAATGGATCGTAATGTTGAAATGTTTATGAACATTGAAAAAACATTGGTGCAGGTAAGTTGGTAGGTTATTAAAAAAATTTTAAAGTATACTTTCAGTTCTAAGGTTGGCTATATTGGATTGCCAAATGATAAAAGATTTTCTGGAATGTATTGCTTTTTATTATTCTTATGGGCGTTGGAGTAAGAACTATGACTGTTCTCGTCCTGATCTTAAATTAATGGTGAATAATCTGTGGTAATTTTCTTTATTAAATTCCCTCATTTATTATTTGGATCACTTTTATTTTATTTAATATAAACAGTTATCCTACTACCAATGTTATAGTCATTTTTTTGGATTTGTTCCATGGTTGTTCCATATGGATCTTACTTTCCTAAGTAGATTATAACCTGGAAGAGGGAATGCTTACTTTTCTTTCTTGTGTTTCCTAGTTTTTTATTTTTATTTTGTGTTTCTGGCGACTGGGCCTCATAAAGCACTCCCACTGAGCTATATTCCATCCTACTAGGCTAGTTTTTTGTGTTGTTGGTTTTTTTTTCACAGTACTGGGGCTTGAACTCAGAGTTTTCACCTTGAGCTGCTCTACCAGCTCTATTTTTGTGATGGGTGTTTTTGAGATAGGGTCTTGCAAACTCTTTGCCTGGCTGGCTTCAAACTGCGATACTCCTGATCTCTGCCTCCTGAGTCACTAGGATTATAGGTGTGAGCCATCGGCCTAGAATTTTTATTGGCTGGCAGTAATATTGTAGTGACCACTGAAGCAGCCTTCCTGGGGAAATGTAGCTGGCAAAAATTTAACTTGATATGTGAAAGTTTTCTACAGATTGTTAGGGAAATGATTGAATGTGGTTTGCTTATTTGTTGAGTTTTTGCCATTGTTTGAGGAGTTAATACATTTTATCATTGCTATTTTCAATATTAGAAATGGGAAGAAAGTGCTGTGTCTTTCCACAAGAATGGTAGCTGATACTATTGTTAGACTGTTAAGGAAAATTTAGGTAAAATTGAGGATTGGTCTGGCATGGTACCTTAGTAGAAAATTTGCTGAATTTCTTTTGGTCATGGTTCTCAACATTTTTTGTCCAAATACAACCAGTTGCAGAGAAGGGATCTGAAGGTGGTTTTTTTACGTGGCCTGCTGAAACCACCTAGGTTTTATTTTGAGATAAGACTTTCACACACTTTCAAAGTACAATCTTCCTGCCAGGTGCCAGTGGCTCAGGCCTATAATCCTAGCTACTCAGGGGCAGAGATCAGGAGGTTTGAGGCCATCTCAGGCAAATATTCAAGAGACTCCATCTCGAAAAAATCCAACACTAAAACAGGGTTGTAAATTGGCTCAAGTGGTAGAGCACCTTCCTAGCAAGCGTGAGGCTTTGAGTTCAAATCCCAGTACCACCAAAAACAAAAATAAACAAACAAAAAAAATTAAATCTTTCAATTGTAGTTAGTTTGAGTTTGAATATTAACTTCTGCCATTAGGGTTATGGATAAATATTACATTCAAAATCAGTAGAATTTCAAAGTCTTTTCTTTTTTTTTCTCTCCTCAGAACAATTGTCTGACCAGACCCAACATCTACCTCATTCCAGACATTGATCTAAAGTTGGCTAACAAATTGAAAGATATCATCAAGCGACATCAGGTAATAGACACAACCACATGCGAGTCATCGTGTAGTAATATACCTCTAATACATGTCAGATGTAATATATTTGGATTTTTGTTTTATGTTTGTATTAAAGGAACGTCTTCTTTTACAGTACCAGGTCTTTTTTTCCTCACCTCCTTGGTTTCCATTTACTTCTAGTTTTTAGCTTAGAGTAACGTTTAATAAAGTCACTGACATGTAGTCTTTCGGTGAACTTTGCTTATATGTAGTTAAGGAAATCAGTGCAGTCTACGTCACAGAAATCACAAGAAATCACAACAGTCAACTGTTGACTGGTGGACATGAAATATACTTTTGGTACCCCTCCCCCCACACACACTGAATTATGTATTGTCTTCACAGATGTGTGTGTGTGTGTGTGTGTGTGTGTGTGTGTGTGCTGGTATCAAACTCAGGGCCTCACACATACTAGTCAAGTGCTCTACCACTGATCATAGATATGGTTTTTTAAAAAATTGCTGAAAAAAATTCTGCTTTCTAGCCAGGAATAGTGGTACATGTTTGCAGTCCCAGCTACTGGTAGCCTAAGGTGGGAAGATCACTTGGGCCCACAAATTTGAAATTAACTTATAGTATAGCAAGACTCTGTCTCAAAAAAAAAGTAAAAACATCTTTCCTCCTAAGTATATATTGTCTTAAGCTCACATAATACTGCCACCTGTTGACATCCTTCCTCTGACTTCATTTTAGGTTGAGACTGTAGGTTTTTTTTGGACGAAGGTTTTTGATTACATGTGGATAAACTACTAGGGAAAAGACAGTTTTCTGAGACATCATTTTTGTTACAAAGTTTTACTGATTCCCTAAGGTTGGTGGAGAAGCCTCATAAAATATCTTTTTTCTGCTGCAGAAGAGATTGCCAGTTGACATATCTTTTCTGTTCTAGTAGGAAATGTTTCTAAAACTACTTAGAATTACAGATTTTACACTGTCTTTTTCTTACATATGACATCCTTGCCATAGACAGAAAGGTAGTACAGTTGTGTTGTTGGATGAAGCAATGGGAAGTTCATTTCTTTGCATCATAACTTTCAAAAAATCACTTAACCTTCTTTTATATCTAGATTTTTTTTTTGGTGGGGGGAGGGATTGGGGTTTGAACTCAGGGCTTTGTGCTTGCAAAGCAGGTGCTCTACTGCTTGAAGCATACCTCCAGTATATTTTGCTGTGGTTATTTTGGCATTGGGAAGCTCATGAACTGTAAGCCAGGCTGGCTTTAAATCATAATCCTCCCTAATAGTTAGGATTACAGGCATGAGCCACAGGCATCCTGTTTTCATTTCTTTTTCTTTTTTTTTTTTTTTTTGCAGTAATAGAGTTTGACCATAGGACTCAGCGCTTACTAGGCAGGCACTCTACCACTTGAGCCATTCCAGGCCTGCTTTTTTGTTAGCTGTTTTCAACATAGGGTCTCTCGAACTATTTGTCTGGGCTGGCTTCAAATCTCCATCCTCCTGATCTCTGCCTCCTGAGTAGCTAACATTACAGGTGTGAGCCTTTGACATCCAACTGTTCTTTTATCTTTTTAAGTATCTGTTTATTGGAGTGACTGTCAAGTGTAGTTTAATTAAATGTGGACTGTTTAAAAGGGCAGAAATAGAATAAATTAACCTGCAGATTCTTGCTGTCAAACTGAAATCGCTTCACATTTATTCAGGAAAAGGCTTATATATTTTTGTACAGTTTGTGGTAACTATTTAGCTATAAAATTCTCCTAAGAAGCATGACCTAGAGATACTATTCAGAGCAATATAACAGTATGGCTAGGCTAGTTTCATAGAATCTTTCCCTATCCCATCCCCATCTCCCTCGCCCCCGCAATGTGTGCATGTGTGGTTCTCCCATTGAGGTACATTCCAGTCATAGTTTCATAGTCTCTTAGGGAAGTGACCTTAAAGAGTTAATGATAACAGTACCATTATTGAATACTGGTCAGGATTTTATTTCAGCATTTTAGATGCATTAACAACTTATACTGATCGAGCACTTGTGGTATGCCTGATACTACTTTTAGTTCATTGTATCTTTTAACATCTAACAATTCTTATGGTAAAGCCATTACGCTATTCCATTTCACAGAAGACACATGCACATAATAACTTACCCATGCCATGAAAGTAAATGATAGAGCTGAGATTCATACTTAAGACTGATGGGCTCCACTAGCCAAGGTCCTGAACATGTGCTATTCTGTCTTATCACCTCACACTCACTGGATATTGATAACCCTTTCCCACCTCTGGAGATGTATCAAAAATGTTTTCTATCTGTCCAGTGAATGAGAATTCCTTATCTTAAGAAGCAATTAACTGTAGCTCTTCATTTTTTAATTGTAGAGTTTTCCCCAGATAAAGCATCATTGTTTGTTTGTCTAATTGTAGTAATTAGTTAATACTTATTGTCAAAGTGAAAATTCAGAGAATGCATTAAGGTGCTACTTACAGACACCTAAAAAATTAGCTAGCATTTGTTGCCCTTAATGCAGAGAAACTAAAGCAGATACCTTAAAAGCAACTGAGGCCAATAGGAGAAGGAGACCAGGAACTAGAGAAAAGGTTAGATCAAAAAGAATTAACCTAGAAGGTAACACACACGCACAGGAAATCAATGTGAGTCAACTCTCTGTATAGCTATCCTTATCTCAACCAGCAAAAAGCCTTGTTCCTTCCTATTATTGCTTATACTCTCTCTACAACAAAAATAGAGATAAGGGCAAAATAGTTTCTGCTGGGTATTGAGGGGGTGGGGGGAGGGGGAGAGGGAGGGGGTGGTAAGGGAGGGGGTGGGGCAGGGGGAAGAAATGACCCAAGCCTTGTATGCACATATGAATAATTAAAAAAAAAAAAAGGTGCTACTTATAACAGGATTGCAAGAGTTTTCATTGTTTTAATTGTTTCTAGAATGAACACTTTTTGTTCTAAATGGCTTCCACATGGTGTTCTAGACTATATACAATATTCTAGCTTTGGCCTAGCAATAACTTAACTTGATTTTTTTTCTTTGCTGCATATAGTATTATTAACTTCAGTTCTTACTAGTATTTCTCTAGCACCGTACACACACACACTCACATACCCACACATACATGTACACTAGTCATTTCAAATGTTCCATTCTATATATATGAGGTATATACATGTACCTCAATTTTATCACTCAGTGTTATAAACATGCATTGATTCACATCAGTTAATAATGTTAATTTGTGCCCTGCTGGTGGTGCATGCCTATAATCCCAGCACTGGGGAGGTTGAGGAAAGATTATGAGTTTGAGTCCATCCTGTGTCAAAAAAGAAAATCCGTCACAAATTATCATTTTTTTCTGTTGTACCACCATACCTGACTTTTGTGATGGAGTTGGAGGAATTTTAAGAGTTAGAGTGACCAATATTACTGATAAAGATAAGCAGAGAGAGAATAGCAAAGAATTAGCTAAGGAGTAAAGCAGAACATCCCTAATCCGAAACATCTTCAGTGTCAGTACTCATAAGGTTTTGTATTTTGGTGCATTTTGGGTTCTTGGGTTTAGGGAAGCCATCTGGTGAAGTCTATGCAAATATTCTAAAATCTGAAAATCTCAGAAATTGGAAATACTTCAGGTTCCAAGCATTTTGTTCTTTTTCTTTCTTTCTTTTTTTTTTGGGGGGGGGCGGGGAACAGGAGGGAGGCAGTATTGGGGTTTAACAGGGCCTCACACTTGCTTAGCAGTCACTCTTCCACTTGAGCCACTCCACCAGCCCTTTTTTGTGGTGGGTTTTTATCAAGGTAGGGTCTCGTCATTTATTTGCCCTGCCTGGCCTCAAACCAAGATCTTTCTGAACAATGTCTCCTGAGTAGCTAGGATTATAGGCATGAGCCACTGGTGCCCAGCTCTATTTTTCTTTTCCTTTTTTGAGACATGCCTCCCTATGTATCAGAGGCCTGTCCAGGCTGCTCTGGAACTCTTCATACTCTGTCTTCTGAATGCTTGGGATACAGGTGTGGGTCACCTTGCTTGGCTTAAGACAGTAGTTTTTGTAAATCACTACCCCTTTCCTTGAGTAAAAATAAACATAAGTAAATATATTAGTCTTAAAATATAATGCTGTATAATTTGTATAGAATTTGTATCTAACATCCAATAGTTTGCTTGCCGTGTGCTTTATTTTTATGCTATTTGTATTTTTGCTTTCCAGGGGACATTTACTGATGAGAAGTCAAAAGCTTCCCACCACATTTATCCATTTCCTTCCTCACAGGAGGATGGTAAGTTAATTTTTGGTTGAGAATTGATAAACACATACATACCATAGGTTTTTATAACATATTAAAAGAAGTTTAAACAGTATCACCACCCTCCCCCAACCTTTTTTTTTTTTCTTTGAGACAGGGTCTTACTGTGTATCCAGGTGGCCTGGAACATGTTATATAGCCCATGTTGTCCTTAAAGTCATGATTCTTTTGCTTCAGCCTCCTATGTGCTGGGATTATAGGTGTGCACCACAATACCCAGCTTATAGCTAGCTTTTAAAAAGTAACTATAAAAATTCCACAGATGTTTCAGATACATAGTTCTCTATTTCTTTAATGACTTTACTCCCCTTTCTTTCTTAAATCTAAGTCTAAGAAACTGTTGCCCAGTTTTCCTCATTCTGCCTAAGTTTTCCAAGCAAATTTATTTTGGACTGTATAACTTTATAACCATTAGACTTTTTTTCAGGGGTGATTATTACTTTGTTGGTAAGTCTAAAGCATCCCTTATATATTAACTTTTTAAATGTTTGCTATGTCTCTTCTCTTTTGCAACCTAAGAGATGGTGCAGAATAGAGGAACATCTTGAGGGAAGAAGAGAGTTTACTAGCTTTCAGAGTACAATAGCCAAATAGTAGTTTGAAATTACACTGGTTTGATTTCTAATGTCTAATTCTACTATTTTGAAAGAATAGTGGGCAGGGTTTATCAGACTTATATGAACTGACTTATGCTAACTATTCTAAAGATGAAGTAAGTTGCAATACATAATTTAATTTAGAATGAGAAATAGCTCTGTAGGGATGCAGCAGTGAACTCTTCTGATAAGTAGAACATATCCCTCTGCAGGACCTCCATTTTTCTCCTGTAGAGAGATATATCAAATTATAAAAATTGTCAAGTTATAATTTGATAATTACAGAATTGTCAGATAATGCCAAATTTGGCTAATAATCCTTTATGGAGTATTTCTCTTGACCAGTGCAGTTATGCTAAAAGTATACTTGAAAATTAAGAAGTATATTGATGCTGGATGTGATGGCTATGCCTATAATTGGGAATTGGGGATAGGAGGATAGTGGTTCAAGGCCAGCCTTGGAAAAGTTAGAGAGACTATTTCAAAGAACAAGTTGATCATGGTGTGGTGCACTGCTGTAATCCTAGCTATGCAGGAGGTGTAATGAGGAGGATAACAGTTTGAGGCTTGGGCAAAAGCATGAGACCCTCTTTTGAAAAATAACAACAAAGCAAAATGGGCTGGGGGTCTGGCTCAAGTAGTCAAGTGCTTGCTTGCTAAGTGCAAGGTTCTGAGTTTAAATCCCTAGTACCACCAAAAAACCCCTAAAAAATATATTGCTGATTAACCAATGGGTCAAAGAAGAACTTACAGTCAAAATGGAAAATCTTTGGGATGTAATAATAATAATAAAGCAAATAATATTAAAATAACATTAGAAGTTATTTTAGAACAGTAGAAGCTGTGCTTTGAGGGGCATTTAATTTTTAAATTTTTTGTGACAAGGTCTCATATAGCCCATGCTGGCCTTGAACTCACAGTACTCCTTCCTCAGCACTCCCAAGTGCTGAGATTACAGGCATGTTCTACTATGCATACTTTTGAGGGGCATTTTTATCTTTAAATGCATGTATTAGGACTGAAGAGAGGCTGAGAATCAGTTTTCCAGTCACAAAATTACAAATTAAATCTGAAGAATAAAAGCAATTATAATATATAAATTAGCTGGGCACTGGTGGCTCACACCTATAATCCTAACTACTCAGGAGGCAGTGATCTGGAGAACTATGGTTCGAATCGAAGCCAGCCTAAAGTGAACTAAACAAATTTCTCAAAAGAAGAAATTCAAATGGCCAAAAAACACATGAAAATATCCTCACCATCTCTAGCAATAAAGGAAATGCAAATTAAAACCACACTAGGATTCCACCTCACCCGTTAGAATAGCCATCATTAGCAACACCACTAACAACAGGTGTTGGTGAGGATGTGGGAAAAAGGAACCCTCTTACACTCCTGGTGGGAATGTAACTAGTACAACCACTCTGGAAAAAAATTTGGAGGCTACTTAAAAATCTAAACATTGATCTACCAATACCACTCTTGGGGATATACCCAAAAGAATGTGACACAGGTTACTCCAGAGGCACCTGCACACCCATGTTTATTACAGCACTATTCACAGTAGCCAAGTTACGGAAACAGCCAAGATGCCCCACTACTGACGAATGGATCAAGAAAATTTGGTATCTATACACAATGGAATTTTATGCAGCCATGAAGAAGAACAAAATGTTATCATTCGCTGGTAAATGGATGGAATTGGAGAACATCATTCTGAGTGAGGTTAGCCTGACCCAAAAGACCAAAAGTCGTATGTTTTCCCTTATATGGGGACATTAGATCAAGGGCAAACACAACAAGGGGATTGGACTTTGATCACATGATAAAGCAATAGCACACAAGGGAGGTATGAGGATAGGTAAGACACCTAAAAAACTAGATAGTATTTGTTGCCCTTAACGCAGAGAAACTAAAGCAGATACCTTAAAGCAAATGAGGCCCATAGGAGAAGGGAACCAGGAACTAGAGAAAAGATTAGCTCAAGAAGAATTAACCTAGAAGGTAACACACATGCACAGGAAATCAATGCGAGTCAACTCCCTGTATAGCTATCCTTTTCTTGACTAGCAAAAACCCTTGGTCCTTCCTATTATACTCTCTCTTCAACAAAATTAGAGATAAGGGCAAAATAGTTTCTGCCGGGTATCGAGGGGGTGGGGGAGAGAGGGAGTGGGTGGGGGCAGGGGAGAGAAATGACCCAAACATTGTATGCACAAATAGCTCACAAGGCCCTGCCTCAAAAAAAAACCCATCAGAAAAAAGAGCTGATGTAGTGACTCAAGGTGTAGGATCTGAGTTCAAAACCAGTACTGAAAAAAAACTTAAAAAAAAAAGGAAAACAGAAATTAATGAATCAGTAACATACACTAGTAATGGGTCAGAGGAGTGTCTGAAGTGATAGAGCACATTCCTAGCAAGTATGAGGCCCTGAGTTCAAATGCCTCTAAAAAAGAAAAAGAAAAGAAAAAAAGTAGGATGCTCAACAATGATGTGAAATTGTTCATAGAAAATACTAGTAAGGTTTTGAAAATCCTGCTGTCAATAAGCAAGGAAAAAAAGAAGGATCAAAATAATGGCAAGAATGAAAGGAGACATTTTTACCGATCATATAGACAATCTAAAAAATGATCATAAGCATTTGGGGAAGGAGGTATGATTGCTTTTGTTTGGTATTAAGTCTAAGAAACTATTGCCCAATCTTTTTATAAAGTGAGAAAAATCACTCTGTATCTAGTGTTTATTAATTGCTATTTTTGTAGTTAAATTCTTTTTTTTAAACTTTTATCCATTAGGTATTAGCAACTGGTTTCCACTAGAAGGAGGTGATGTATATATAAGTGTACAGTCGTTTTATGTTAGACTACTAATTCTGTTCCTTACTCTGTATCTGCAGTATGGGTGGTATAAAACTTTAGGTTATGTATTTTTTGAAAGAATTGCATTTTATGTATGATTTGAGTTGTATTTGTTAGAGTTTTGTCTTTTTGTTTAATACAACCTAGTTTTGCTGTGGTATTGCTATCAAGTAGTCACAGTAATTATTGGGAGGTAACACAAAAATTCAACTTTTAATATATTTGAAGTTTTTTGTTTTTATTTTTGTGTTTTTGCCATTCTGGGGTTTGAACTCAGGGCTTCATGCTTGGTAGGCAAGCACTGTGTCACTTTTCAAGTTTTTCTTGAGACATGGTCTCCCTATCTACTCTGTGGGCCAGACTGCCCTAGAACTCACTACATAGTATGGGTTGGCCTCAAACTTGGGATCCTTGTGTCATAGCCTTGCATGTACTTGAATTTGAGGCATGTCTTCCCAAACCTGGTTTGAAAGTTATTTTTTTAATATGAAGCATGATTGGGTGTACCTGTAAATTTATTTTGTAATAATTGGGTGTCATTGACTCTGCTGATTCTTTGTTGGGGCACTTACATGTACATATTTCAGATAGATGAGTACGTAGGATAATACCCAACATATCACATTTAAGGCCATGTTTTAAAAACCCTTGATAACACATTATATCTTTTATGAGGGTAACAAAATTTAAAATTAACCAAATGATATTTAATGGCCCGTAAGGTATTAGAGTTCGTGTATTGGCACAAGTATACGAGAGGTAAAAAAATAAGCAAAAACATACATGTAATAAGCTGTGCAAATAATGTATTTGAGATAAAGAATATGGCAGTTTGGCTATATGTCTCAGGAGTTAAAGGTGGAAAGGAATACGTGATGTGAATTCTGTCAAAAGAACTTTGTGTTTATTTGATGAATGAGGGAGAAGATACACAACATTAATAATTTTGTTGAAAAGAAATGTGCAGCTGTGGCTATTTTAAGACCATTTGTCATGGGTTAAGGGAATATACTACAGGGAGTGAACTTGTGTAATGTTCACTCTCGACATTATGGTTTGTACAAGTAATGTATGCTAATAAAAATTATTAGTTTTTTTTAAAAGAATTTGTCTCAGAGCCCATTTCTGGGAATTGGATATAAAAAGACCAATGAGATACAAAAACCCATTAGGAATCTCTGAATTAGATTGCTGAATGAGGGAGAATTTTATCATTGTATGGAATGAACCCAGATACCAGGAGAACAAAAGGAGGAGAGTCATCTGTGAAGACAGTATGGTTCAGATCTTAAAATTCATGGGAAAATAAGGACAGGAGAGCTTTTCAAGATGTAGTCAGTGAGCTGTAGAATTATTCTATAAAGAAATCAAAATGAAGGCTTGGCTACTAAGGAGGCAGAGAATCACTACTCAAGACCAGCCTGGGCAAAAAGTTCTTGGGATCCCATCTCAACCAACATGCTGGGCATGGTACACTGGAAGCCATAAGTAAGAGGATCACAGTCTAGGCCAACCCAGGCAAAAGGGTGGGATTTTCTGAAAACTAACTACACAAAAAGTGGTAGGGGAGGCTTAAGT